ATCTGAGTCGCTAAGCCTCGCTCCCGACTTTCTCCCCGTGCTCATTGCTGCATCGGCACTCTTTTTTTTTTCTTTGAAGAGCGCCCATTGCGTAAACGATGGGCTACGTCAACAAGGCCACGCTCTAGACACTCTCGTGCATGTAGTGCATCCTGACCCTCTTTGACATAGTTTTTAAACTCACGCGCCGGGTCGGAATTGAAGCAGGTCGTTCCCAGATATGATCTGCTCGCATAAAGCACTCTTTCGCTAATTCAGCAAGATAAAAGTTTGCCCCATTTTTTTCACGCCCTCAAACACCACGCTTTATGATGAGCGAAAACTTCGAATAAGCAGGGCACGTTACCAATCTGATGCACAATTTACCAAGGGGACACGCTTATGTGTCGAAATGATAGATGGAACTAGAATGTAATTGTCGCTTGCTGTGGAAAGCTTCATTAGAGGAGTTTGATCACGCGAGCATTTTTTTTTTACAGTGAAAGCTGTTGTAATATCACAACACGGGTCACGAGCGGCGGCGTAGTTGTGGCCGCCACCGCCACCACCGGTGTCCGCACCCACTATCGCATGAAATATTAAAAAGACCAAGGACACAGTGAGGGCTCGAACCCGGGCACGCGACGTGCCAGCGCAAAATACCACCACAGAGCTACGCTGCTGCTTGGGACTTCTTCGCAAACATGCCTTAAGCAGGCTCGATGTCGGGAAAGGAATGATGGTATTATGAGTAATAAAGCGCTTCAAAACAACAAAGGAACAACTCGGTGTCACACAATGCGAATGGCGTAGCGAATGGGTCGTCCAATGCTACAACCCATTACAATAGCGTGTTCTTGAACACCTATTAAATGTGCCGCATACCCACTTCAGGAATAATTCATCATCGTCGTCAGCCACTGCATGAACAATTGGCACAAAATTCCTTGCATGTGTTCAGTGAATACAAGGCTTCTACGGAAAATGACAAAAATAGCATTGTGAATGCTGGCCTACTACCCAGAAATTATGAATAATAATGAAGTAGAGGGTACCCAGCAAGTATGCTTATAGCAGTTACCCAAATAGGGGTCATAAACGCCTCTGAAAGGCCGCCATTCTTGCTTTCGCTGTGACTGTGCGACCCCTTCCGCACATGCCTGGCGTTTTTTTTTCCTTTGCGCCTTTTTTTACTTACCTATTGCGAACAAAACTGCAAATCAGCTTTCGTTACAGCGTTCGAGATGTTGCCCTCTCAGATAACGTTATTCATTCAGATAACGTTATATGAGATAACACTCAGATAACGTTATTCAAGTGAGGCATGATAACAGAGTGAGCTCTGAAAAAAACATCCACAATATATGGTCACGAACAGCCACTTCACTTGGCATCATGTCACGCCTGCGAAAGTGACCATTTGGTTGAGACAAGTTGTATTGATGAGCATGGTGAGATGCTGTGAAAATTTCATCTGCAACTTTCGCCGCACACTGGAAGGCTGCCAGCAAGGTAGGAGGTGTTTTGTTCTATTTCGACAAATTTTAGATTTCCGGGCTCATAGGATACACAAATCAGTAAATCTGGACTCTAATTAGGTTCCGCAAGACTTGAAAGTTCCGATTTCACGAGCTTTAATACCTACCCGTTTTGTAAATATATAGAAATAGTTTTTTATTAATCTAGGAGTTTCCACTTGCACGCATTTAGAGAACAGTAGCCAATTTGTAATAAGTCTCTCTCACCTTAGGAAGTAGAGGAATAGAGAAAGAAGCTTCTATACAATGAGCGACTTGCAAATCAATCATATACATTTAAATGTGGAAGACCATCAACGTGGTGAGAGCAGAGATAAGGCATTTGACAGAATAAAATGACTGAGTTTAAGTATCGAGGAACGGTGACGGAGCTGTTTCCAGGGACCACCTGTCTCCTACGTGCACACCTTACTGGCATTAAAATTTACAATTCGATTTTCCTACCACAGCATTGAATTTGGCACGGTGTGCCCTAGTCGTGGGTCTCATTCCCAATAAAGAATGCACATACATCTAGGGGGAAAACACAGATTTCACCTGCAGCATTCAATAACGCACATGCAATGAAGGTTTTATTCAGCAGTGTCTGCGTTCCTCACTTATCTCATCAAGAGTGACTTGCTAAGTGAGCAAGTAACTTAGTAATAGGCATTTCAGTTATTTAGCATTTCTTAACAAACCAGCTGCCCTTTGACCGTTTGCGTGAATACATCGATGTAACCGCCTAAAGTTTTGCGCTCTCGTAACCATATATTTTGTTTCAAATTCTGTTTGTTTTGTTTTTAAAGTAACTAATACATATTTTTTTTCATAAAAATTCTATGGCAGTAACGCCCTTGTCTTCTTTGCAGACAAAGTTAACGCCGACGCAGTAAAACTCTGCCGCACATGAAGTTGTATTGAAAGCAGTATTTAACACAAACCTATTATTTACTTTAAAACTAATACCTAGAGGTTGCTTGTTCATGTTGTTGAACGTGACAAAACATGGCTTAACCAATTTTTAAACCTCAAAAATAAGTATTTAGGAATCAAACCTTCAAACTCAAGCTAACACTCCAGAATAAACAAACGGGGGCGCGTAGGAAGCCCGGAAGCTGTGTTACGTCAGACAAAAAATTCTCTTGGCAGAATTTCAAATTGTTCGATAATAATTAAAAGTGAAGCAACCGGTTTTCGTTAAATACCCAATTTAACTGTACGGAGGAAACTGGCGCGACTGCATTTTTTTCATAAGATATTTTTTCACAATCCATCAATGAAGCGAGACCTCATTTCACAACCGTCATACCACTCATCGCGCATTGATCATCAGCATAAGGTTGCCATTCCGTTTTGCCGCACCAAATTCTTTTCAGCAGCCTTCTTGCCGTAAACAGCCGCCGATTGGAACCACCTTCCCTCTTCCGTTGTATCAATAACAGACCCTTTGTTATTCAAGACTGCAATTTCTCAGCAATGCTTGTAACTATACGCAGTTTCCATTATCTATCTTTGTCTTGTATGTGCTTGAATTCTTATACATTTTTAGTTGACTTATGTTGCCTTCCTGATTTGCGCATCTGATACTTGTTTCTTTATTTTGTCTTTTTTTCTTGTGTGTTATATATGTTGTACCCACCCCCTCTGTAATGCCCTACGGGCCCTGAGGGTATTCTAATAAATAAATAAATAAATAAATAAATAAATAAATAAATACTGCTTCTAGTGCTACATGAGGTGTAGCGAGGTTTTTCCGCCTTGGAGTAAATCTCGTTTGCGATGACGACATAGGCGTAAGTATCACAGAATCATTAATAAAAACTATGTTTACTAAAGAAGAACCTCTCCATATCGTTAAATTGGCACAGGAGGACTTGAGTGTATTAGGAACGCGATTCACCTGTCTTGACATGAATAACATGACTTCGCTGTCGCATACATGTCATTACGTCCTTGCAACTAGTCATGTTTTTCACATAGACCTGTTATGCCACCTCCCTTCGTATAGAAATATGCGCCAAAGGTGATGAGGAAACTGTAGGAACTCAAGCTTTCAAAATCTTAATGAAAATGCTTGAAGGAATCCGTGTAACACAAAAATTCATGCCTGCGTCGGCGGCGTTGCCGATGGATGATATATCCTGATGGGGATATATCATCCATTGATATCATTATTCGAAACAATAATAAACAAAAGTGCAGACGAAGCTACAGTTGAACATAGGCATTCATTATTCATGGTAGTCAAGTACTATTCCTCTGAGCGATACCAGTGCTTCAAAAATACTTGGAAGAAGACGTTATACAACAGTCATGTCAGAAAGTGCCCATTATAATTGGAGTTTTGAATATTTGATATTATATCACTTTTGTAACAAATATTCACCCCTATCGATCCGCAAGCTACACTCTAAGCGTAGTACGCCAACGTACGCTACTTATTTGCACAGCATCGCACACTAGAGTGCTCTTCATGGAGAGTAAGCTGCCGTCTTCGCTCATATAGAGTGAGTGTCGCCGGTACGTCAGCCCATGACGCACGCTTCCCTCACCAGTGTTCTCGGCGTGCTTGGTAAGCCACACGACAACTACTCAACTCACAAACAGACGTCAATTCACATCGAAATGTTAGGCCCAAAGAAATAAATCGTACGTACGCTGCTACTCACTCAGTGTTTCGACTTCCTTTCTCTAGCAATAATTCCTCGCTTCGTTCCACTATTTTTAATTTTTTTATACGTGGTTTTCATTAAAGGGGCTCGAAAAATAAAAGGAACATGCCTTTTCTGAGGTGCGAGCGTGCGCTAGAGATCGTTATTTCATCTGTCGTTACGCTAAGCGGTGGCGGCAGAATACGACATCCTGCTCCCCTACAGTTCTTCGCACTTAATGAAGTGTATAAACACTTTAGAAGCAATAAAACCCTTCTCAACAGCGTAGTTGTCTAACAGTGCCGACCAAACAGCAAAAAAAACACTTCTTAATCTTTTGTTTCACTCCTAGGACACGTGTGACAATTTACCCGGCAAGAAAAGACGACGCCGTGAAGCCCAATTTCCGGCCAATGGCTGATATGAGCATCAAGGGTTGCTTAGTTACCCCACCCGCCAAGGTAACTATGCACGTTTCCGCGGGCGGCTGACCCGTGCGCGCTCGCGGTCTCATCGAAGGTAAACCGCACGTTCAAAGAAAAAGAAAGCCCTGGAACGCGTGTGATGAAACTTCTTTCCGCCGTGCCTCATGTCCCTGCTTAGCGTTGAGCAGGTTAGGACGATTGAAGAGAGAAATCAATTAAAGCGTGCGGCAATTCACTATAGTTGCGCTCTTACTTGACGGAAGGCTAAAAATTAATGCGGCGATTGATTAGTGAGACAATAAACTGCATTATTGAAACAATTTGATGGTTACTTGGCAAAGTTTTGCAGGTCCCCTGTAATCAAGACGAAAGAACATGCCTGCACGTCATCTAGGGAGTGGCCTTTCAGCAGTGTGTGTACTCACCATCCCTGAACATTCTCGGGGTCATCGCACTGAAGCGAGTCGACGTTGAAGACGGTGCCGAGGCTGCAGCCGTACGGCCTGGCCTGTCCCTCGATGCACACGTAGAACTTGCGGCAGTCGGTCGGGTGCGCGTGGCGAGTGAACACTCCTGGCTGATCCACCTCGGCGGGGTCCGGGCACACGAACCCTTCGGCGACCTCACGCTGGTCGCAGCGGTCCACCAGGTCGGCCCACACGCACACACGCTGGTCGTTGTCGTAGGCCAGCCCCGGCGGGCACTCGTAGCGTGAGCTCTCGCCATTCCAGCACGAGAAGAACACGCGGCAGTTGTGGTTGTCCGGGAAGATGCCGTACAGGCGCGGGCAGTTGGGCGTGCTGATTGGTGGCTCTACGGGCACGAGAAAAAAATGTCAGGTGGCTTGTTCACTCTTCTGGGAACCAGAACAAAAATATTGCCATCCCAGAGGATGTTGTTCAATAACGTGCACTGATACCTCACAGTACACGTGCCTCTAAGCCTTCAACTCCCTCGACAACCGTGAAGGTTAATCGGAGTATAAGTAGGTGTTTATTTGTCAGATAATGTTTCTAAAAAAGTTGTATTAAGCAGTGCAGTAAAAGCAGGCATTGTTTAAAATGTAATTAGTTGGCCGAAGCAATCCTATTATTGAAGGAATAAAGCTTAGAAACTTTATACAGCCTTCTCAGAATCGAATATAAATATCGAAAAAGCGGCACACAATATGAATATACAGCAATTCTTGACAATAGCTGGTCGGCTTTGCTGGTGATTTACGCAGTTTTTGACAAAACATATTTATGCTCTAAGATGTAAACAGACCAAGAAAAGCATATAATCAAGAAATAAAAAGAAGACGACCACCCGATTGTAGCACGAAGCCACGTATACCTTTCTCAGAAAGAAAAGCTTCTTAGCGGCATAAAAATTTGTCCTGGTCTGGGGTTTGAATCCGGAACCAGCGCCTTTCTGGGGTGGTTGTTCTAGCAAGAAACTTTCAATTGGCATTGCCAGGGTGAATTCGCCGACAATTAGAAGCACATGAACACAAATATAGCAAATTAGTTCGGCGGAAACCCACTACGCAGAGCAACATGGAAGAGCGAGCGCCCTGGAAAGGCGTTGGTCCCACCCCGTCGCGGTGGTATAGTGGCTGAGGTACTCGGCTGCTAAACCGCAGGGGGCGGGATTGAATCCGGGCTGCAGCGGCTGCCTTTCTGATGAAAGCGGAAATGTTGTAAGCCCATGTGCTCAGATTTGGGTGCACGTTAAAGACACCCAGGTGGTCAAAATTTCCGGAGCCCTCCACTACGGCGCCTCTCAAAATCATATGGTGGTTTTGGAATGGTAAACCCCACATGCAAATGAATCAAAGGCGTTGGTCCCGGTTTCGAACAACGGGCCAGGACAAACGCTTCGGCAAATGCGAAGCTTTTCATTGTGAGAAACCCACACGAATTTCCTTGTGGCTTCGTCCTACAAACGACTTGTTGTCTTCTTTTCCTTTCTTAACCCTTCCGTCACCTTGCGGGTTTCCAAAGAACTCATTTAAAACACCATATAATAATTAAAAAAGATTGTATACATACATTCGTGAGCAATATTATGCTGAAATTCGGAGTGTGCGGTGAAGTTACCATTTTGCAAACTTTATTGGCGAGCCGTCTCTGCACGCAGAGAGCCTTTCTCTGGCCTCGCAATTGCCACAAGATGGCACAGATATGAATTTCGCCACGCGCTCTCGTGGTGTTCATACTTGTGTATTGTCCTCGTCAAATGAAATGCGAACAGCGGAAAGCATCGGCAATGGTATGCTGAGCGCGCCGTGCAGTCATCGCCAAGGACGTGTACAGTGCTGCCAAAGAAAGTGCTGAACGCCTGTCAGTGGTGATGACTGGACGACGGGCACTGTGCCATTCCTAACGCCTGTCGCAGTTCCAGTTTCGTTTGACGACTACCGTACATTAGCAAACGGACAGTTGCAAAACGATTAGAAGTCCATACGCCAGACGCCACAAAGTGGCTGCGAAGTCCAAGAAATTTGCCTCCTAAATTATCTGAAACTTTGTTCTTGCTCTACGGTGTGGTGCCTTGTGGAAAATAGCTCATCAATACCTAAATCGCGGGAGAAGTGGTTTTAGTTCGGCATCGCCAGATTTTTATGGTCACGAAAATGGAAAAATAGGCCCGTCGACTACTTCGCCCACCTAGCCCAACCAAATTTTACTCAACACTGATACTGCTCTCTCTCTCTTATGGAGCTTTGAAGGAGAATCGTGGCTCCATTAAATGACCTTTGCATAGTTTTATCACCGTCATCGTTAGAGTTGAGAAAAGACCAAATTAGGTCAAAAGCATAAATAGCTACGCAGAAACATATATGAATTTCTTTCGTTTTTTTTTTGCCGTCATCACTCTCTGTCGTCAATTATTTCCCGCGCACACTTTTGACGATAGCGTCGATAGCGCTCCGCATGATGCAGTTAGGCGGTACACAGAGTTTTTATGAGCATGAGTTTCCTCTCGTGGGTGTCGTCCTTGGAAATTTCATGTGTCGAAGTCATGTCGGCCAGCAGAAACGTTAGCAAGAAAATATTCTCAACGAAAAAAAAAGCTAAATGTTTTTGCTATCGTAATACTCCGACTAAATGAAAACAGTAATGACCACACCTATGAATTTTGTTGGACCCATATATATGTGCCTGATTTGACATATGTGCGGCTTCGTGATTTTCAAACTTATGAGTGCGCAATGAGTTAACGAGTTCGAAAAAAAAATGCTGTGGTTCACTGCCTCAAATATTCGCTGCTTCGGGAGTAGATTTAACATCTCTTTCTTGACTGGCGGAGGCCAATTCATTGATCTTTATGAACTTTCACTTGGTCCGCCACATTTTCTCGTTGCTCAAAACATTTGTTCAAGAGAGCTTCTGTTATTGGGGAGTTGAACTGTAGATTTCTCCCCGTCGTTTTGACTATATATTCATGGGTCAAACAACCGGACACATGGCTGTTCTCCAGCAAATAGACAACCGATTATACTTGAACGGACGTGGATTCATCAAGCGGTAAACGTTTTGGGGCCTCTTTTGTGTGCCTGCCAGGTTCATCTCGGAAGACCACAGATTAGTGTTACAAAGTGCGACAGAACACTCACCGAGATCCGTTCGGTCGCCACAGTTGACTGAAAACGGATAGGCGCAGTTCTCTCTGAGTGGGTCGACATCGTCGAAGACTAGTCCGTTGCCGCAGGTCTTGAGGGATGCAGTGCCGTTGCTGCAGGCGTAATACTTGTCGCAGCTCTTGTGGTGGGGATAGAAGCCGAACTGATCCGGGCACTGAAAGTCATCTCCTTTCTGTCCGGCAACTGCACAGAAGAAACACCACCTCCGCGTTATCACCGGTTCGTCAGTAAGGGTCGAGGACTTCACGGAAACCATGAGCACCACACCTTGACACAATTTCACAATTTAGAAGTGTGTTTCAACTCGCTGCAATCTTCGTAAAACTGTTCGAAGCCAAAAAGCACGCACTAAACATAGAACAACTTGAGAGAGGGCAAAAAGCACGTTTATTTGTGCAACAGTGCTTCGAGCGATGTTTATTAAGAGTTTCTTCAGCTGAGGAACCTACGTCTGTCGCTGTTGTCCAAATCACTATTAGCTTGAGCATGTCCTTTTATGTCGCCAAAATAAACGGAGAATATTCTCTTTATTAGGTCAATTGCTCCCCCCTTAAGTTTTTCCGAGTGACCACATGCGCAGGAAACACTCAGATTGTGATGTGTTGACGTTGTCTAGTAAATTGTTTTATATCTGTGCCACATATCCTCAGGCGAAATTGCGTGTGGTTGTTCTAAAATCACTGTTGACAAGTGTCCACTGCTTTTACTGAATGACTAAGGTGACGCTATTTTCTACTCGTAGCTTATTGTTATTTGAGGATGATGGCTTTCTCTATTTAACCGGTAGCATCGACAACAAGAGAGGTATATGCATCCTTATTTTTAACCTAGGCGGTGAATGATTCCTTTCCATACTCGTGAAGTCCAAAACGTTTAGACGTCAAATGATGAAAACGGATCACTTACGAAATTAGAACAAAATCATAAAGCATTATAATCCAAGCTTATGTAATTACCCATTGCCTCGCGGAAAGTCTGGCAGAGCACAGGCGAACAGAGTAGACCACGTTTCCAAAGTGTTCAAACTTTATAAAATCTCATGTGTGATGGGCGTATGGCGAGCATGTTTTTTTGATATTGTGCTCCTTATCCTCAATTTTTTCGAATTTCTAAGTACATGGAGTGAGTGAGTGAAAAGATTTAACGAAAAAAAAGGAGGAGAGGTGCAGCCCTTTAGAGACTTCCTAGAGGGTGGAGACGTTATTCCGAGACACCATTGGTGACACTTGCTGACCTAGCCCTCTGGACCAGGGAACTTTGGGCTTGATGGTCCAAGCGACCCAGCAGGGTCGCCTCCCACTCCTCTATGATTGGGTTAGGGTTGGGGAGAAGAGCTGAGTGAGCTGGCAAGCCCAAGCGATGTGGTAGGTGTCAGTCACCTGTCCATAGTTTTGACACTTGCCAGTGAAGGAGGAATCGAAATGTTGCAGGATTTCCGGGCACAATAAAGTATTGGTGAAAAGTCTCAGGAAGATGCGCTCATAAGCCTTCCCCGGCCCCTTTGCAGGAGGTGCGCAGCAACGCTGAACAAGCACAACCTCGTATCAAAGTACTATATTGCATTCCGAAACAATGTGCCTTTTAACTCAATTCTTGCTGTGTATCGCAGGTACTTATTCGAAACGTTTTAAGGGCGTCACCAAACACGTTTGCCGAATATGAAAAGTACGCCGTTGACGAAATTCATGTTTACTCCCGTGTTCACTGTACTGCAAGATCTGGCCGGCATTCTGTCCCACAATGAGGTTCACGAAAGTGCCAAACAATTGTAGAGGTTTGCGTAGCCATGGCGCGCACCCTAGATGCCATTTTTTTTTTCATGTAATATCAGTTTTCCCGACGCTGCCGATTTCATGTGCTTTTACACGAAGATTTCAAGCAATACTTTACCTTGGGCTGCTTTTTAAAGCACTTTCACAGCTTTTTTGTTTTTTTTGTTTTTCAAAAATGCGCCACGCCCCTCCCATCACTCTCCGGAGTCGGAGTGTGGCCTCCCTCCTGCGTACATTAACCATCAAAAGATTGTATTGCGTACATTGACATGGGCATTGTCGCTCGTTCTCGCCCGCATATGCCTTGAGAGGGCAGTTTTAACGTGTTGGGCTTTCATTGAAAAGTTCGTGTTTAAGTCACTGACAGCACGGAAAATCGCTCCACTCGCTGCAGTGGCCACAAATGATAAAATGTGAGCGGCTAGCATTTGTTCATGTGTAGTCCAAATTTCTTGCTATTGCATTTATTGTTCGCCATTGTGTAGAAACTGTATACATGGGGCTACCTAATGCGGAAGGCCTAGCGTCAGCGTGAGCACAGTCCACATTTTAAAGGTTACCAAGTGTCAAGCTGTCTCTCACTCTATCTCTATCTCTCTTTGTATGTATTATAGAAGGAATGCAAACATGAAGCGGAGCATTGAAAAATATGCGGACTGCATTTCGGGAGTTTCGTATATTTAAATGCGATGTAGAATTTGTGCGATACGCCATCGCCTGTCGGCATATGACACGCTTAGAGGAAGTTGGCGCATTGGTGCTTTCTTTGCTGAAGAGCTGCCTGTTTTTGACGCCATTCGCATTCGCGGCGTGCAGCCGTGCTTTTTTTTCGTAAGGTTCAATTCCACACACCAGCCCAGGCAGGTATATACCTACTGCTTTGCGGTTGTCGCTCAACCTGGTATTCTATTTATAAAAATGGCGCATGTTTTCCCTCAAGAAAACTAGCATTCATTGAAAAGATCATAGGAACAAAATCGTGGGTGGGGTGGGACGCGGGAGCTGCACTTTATGCACAATAAATGGGTGCACAAAATCAGTCTAAAAAACTTGCTATTTTATGTAAATAGGCTAACATCTGTACTCTCAAAGTACTATCCAGACTTCATAAAGTGACATTAAGGAGGAGAACGCCGCAACGAGTGTTGTCTGTTGTTAAGACAATGGGCTTGGCCCGCGCTGTTTATTCTTGTATAAATGACATGGTAGCTCGTACAGTAACAGTTTGTAGCCGCACCCGTGGAGTAATACAAACAAGCGAAGTATTTGGCAGCGAATCTAATGAGCAGCTTTTAAATGCTTACCATGATAAGTGGGCCTTCTCAACTGGGTCTCTGCAACCGAGTCAAGCGAGGAAATACGCCATCGAAATTTCTCGGAGATCGCGAGTGTGAATTTTTTCGAGCAAACGCTGAATCTCGAACATCTAATAAAAAGCGCTCACGCTAAGACACGAACTATAGGCAAGTGTTGTCTTAAGACACAGGGAGCTTTCCAGCGCTTTCATTCTCGGATATTTACTGACGCCATCGATGTTCTGATTACAGTGCTGAGCAGCACTCAATTTTTGTTTCATGTTTTTTACCATGGAATGACATAACCGAACTTCTCTACAGTGAATACGCAAAAGTTTTTAAAAACTTAGATCCAGTGAACTAGCATGGCGGGCGTTCTTCTTACCTTATTGAATATCGAATCGAGACACTCCCACCCACTATTCTCCTTACATCTGGTTGTCACAGCCGAATATTACACATAGTACAGGTACTAACTAATAATTTACTCCATATTTTTAGCATATGGCACTAACGTTTACGACCTTAATTGTGGTTGAGCGTACTTTTCAAATGAAAGACTGCGTGAAGTAGTATACACTGATTTATAGCACTCCGAAGTCGATCCCATGAATAATGCAGTCTTTTTTGCTCTCCAGTAAAGTGCAGTGGCTTGAACTCACGTTCAGAGATGCCCCAGCTGTCTGTCGCGTGGTTCCATAATGAGCGGCGTGCAGCTCTGGAACGCTGCAAGCCGGACCAGTGTCGCCAACCACCGCTATGCGTATGTTTATCCTGCTATTAACTGCGAATGTGCCCTCTAGGCTTGGCTCTGTGAAGTTGCTTCCTTAAAAATGCCATCCGCACGAAGGTATGGCAGCTGTACAGTGTCTTTTCTGATTTTTTTCTCCTGTCGGGCCGCCCACGCAACACTCTTCCTAGGCAGACCTACTACACCTACGAAAGACATCAGGAAGAAGTGAATTTTTTCGTTGTCCGTAGCTTGAATTATACCAGCCGTCTTCACGTAGGCTTCTTCCGCGTTCCTATCCTTCCACTCGTTCATTCTCTTCTGAAGAGGTCTGAGTGTGCTTCCACGCACTGCCGTCCACGCTTCTTGACAAAATATTACACAATGACACTCACGAGAAGACTTGGGTACACCGATGTCATAGCGCATTCAAGATTCAGCATATTTTTGTTCAAAAGAATGGATCCAGGTGCAATAAAAAAAGCGATGACTGACGGTGCCCGACATGTTTCGTTATAGGAAAGACGTTTCAAAAGGGACCTGACAGCCGCGATAAAGGTGGCAGCCGCTAGTTCAAGAGTTCCCCTAGCGATTCCTCTATGACTACGCGTGCCGGGGTGCTTTGCGAAAATATCAGCGCTCTCTTATTGCCACAGATTCTACCAAGTTATTTCTGCAGTGTTATTCTGCAACACTTCTAGCAATACACTGATGCTTTTGCGCCTTTAGTGTAAGTTGGCTACTAGCAACACGTTGCGCGGTCCTCGCAAAAGCGCCGCCAATCACCGATGGTCTAGGTCCAGTCATTTGACCGCATTCGGGCACGTCGCATGCACCACAGAATGTGGTAACTGTGATTGAATCACATCTTGGCTACTGCTCTGCGAGATAAAGATAACTCCCTATTGCTTACAAGGAAATATATGCATGTTTCAGAATATGACTGAGTTCGTAATAACGTGCAGTGATATATATATATATATATATATATATATATATATATATATATATCTATATTGTATGCATTTAGTATACCAATCCTCTTCATCTGTACATTATCATCATTATCATGTGTTGCTCATGCATCCTCATCGTTGTCACGTAGCATCATCTTGGTCCGTTCATCTCAGCTGTCGGCTGCCGGTTCTTCGGGCCTAATAAAGGTCTTCCAAACCAAGACTTCATACGTGGTGGAGCGTGCTGTTGGACCCCCCGTCATCCTCTCGACCACTCTACGCCCTGGAGCTACGTTCAGGTCGCCGCTTGGGCCAGGTGTCCGGAAATATGTCGCACCAAGAAGAGGTCGGTGCTGCAGCCGTTCCCACTCCGCCACTGCGTGCCGCGCCTTTTCACGTCATTAACAGCCTCCAGCGTGAGCCCCATCCC